CTGAAACACAGAAAGGAAACCGTGAGATCGTGGATTTAGAGGAAATGCAACAGGCGTGAAAATAGAAGAGCTTCAAAGCCTTAGGACAAAGTAGAAATATAACACTTTATAGATTTACAATTCACATTTGCCACCGTGAGAGAAAAGGAATCCTTACGAGTCTTATTCATATTGCTAAGGACCCTACAATTAAAATGATAACATGTAAAACAATTTGGTGTGGAAAAATGTAAAGATCGGAAACATTTCTAAATATATAAGAAGAAAATGAAGATTCAAGCAGGAGAGGAGAGGTTATAAAAAACAAAAGGTTTTTAAGACTAATTCATAATAAAACACACTATTAGAACATGCATTTAACATTTGACCGGTCACCAATGAGAGAAAAGGGATCATTTCTAGTCTTTTTAACATCGTTCTGGGCTTTAATATTAAATCTCCAGCTCTTCTCTGGTTCCTCTGCAGGAAAGGAGATTGTATCGTTTACTGTCAGACACACTTTAGAGACGCTCCTCCTGTGTGACGCACAGAAACCTAGTCAGTGTCTGCAGAGGTCATCACGTCTCTGATCAGCTGACCTCTCACTTATCTCAACGTTAGCCACAGATAGCATCAGCAATCACTGACACACACACTCTGATCCTGAAGGACAGAAGAACTACTTTACTGTCTTTCCAACAAGTGGATTAAAGATCTCCAAACACACATATCTGATGGAGGAGAAAACTCAAAGCTTTTCTTTGACGTAGCTCGTAAAGAACAAGAGTCTAAAGGTCTTCAAGTACGGCACGAATACAGAGTCTACTCATCCTCTTGGGTAAATTACTGTCTAACAAACCATCAAATACATACAGTATACTTATTACATCATCACATTACATTTAGCTGACGCTTTTATCCAGAGCGACTTACAATAAGTGCGTTCAACCAACAAAATACAACCTTGAAGAAAGAGAATCATAAAGTACATCAGGTTTCATAGAGCCAAACATTTCAAGTGCTACTCAACTGGCTTTAGATAAGCCAGTCCTTTATTAGTATATAAGTGCTTTGTTAATAGTTCTATCGCTGGAAGTGGAGTCGAAAGAGATGAGTTTTCAGTCTGGAAGATGTGTAAGCTATCTGCCGTCCTGATGTCAATGGGGAGCTCATTCCACCATCTTGGAGCCAGGATAGCAAACCCACGTGTTTTCGCTGATGGGAACTTGGGTCCCCCTCGCAGCGAGGGCGCAGCGAGTCGTTTGGCTGATGCAGAGCGTAGTGCACGTGCTGGGGTGTACGGTTTAACCATGTCCTGGATGTAGGAAGGGCCAGATCCATGGTAAGCAAGTACCAGTGTCTTGAAGTGGATTCTAGCAGTTACCGGAAGCCAGTGAAGGGAGCGGAGGAGCGGAGTGGTGTGGGAACATTTAGGAAGGTTGAAGACCAGACGAGCCGCTGCATTCTGGATGAGCTGCAGAGGTCGGATGGCACATGCAGGTAGACCAGCCAGGAGGGAGTTGCAGTAGTCTAGGCGTGAGATGACGAGAGCCTGGACCAGAACCTGAGTCGCTTTCTGTGTCAGCTGGGGACGTATCTTCCTGATGTTGTAAAGCGTGTATCTGCAGCAGCGGGTTGTAGCAGCGATGTTTGCAGTGAAGGACAGGCTGTTATCTAGGGTCACACCCAGATTCCTTGCAGTCTGAGTCGGGGAAACAACTGAGGTGCCGATGTTGATTGTCAGGTCAAGAGTGGGACAATATTTTCCCGGGAGGAAGAGCAGCTCAGTCTTGTCAAGGTTGAGCTTGAGGTGATGAGATCTCCAAACACACATATCTGACGGCACCTGCAGGAGAAACTCAAAGCTTTTCTTTGACGTAGCTCGTAAAGAATAAGAGTCTAAAGGAAAAGGTAAAGGGTTCTTCCTCCTGGGTCAACAACTGTCTAACAAACCATCAAAGACATATACTTATAGACCCAAGTGACTCTGTTTGCACCCATGTTTTGACTTTAAGACTTATTGTATGCCTTGTGAGCACTTCTCCAAACGTAAAGACATTTCCAACAAGAAATGCAGCTTCTAAAAGTCCTCCTGCACAAGATCAGAAGTAGATAAGTCTGACCATGAAGCAGCAAGTCGTGCAAAGGTCTTTCCCTCACACGTTTAAATGCTGCATGTATTTGGAATCATGATAAACTATATTCCTGCAGACTGTCTGTTGGTCCTCGCATCTCAAACGGAGACGGCTGAGACATCAATGAGGAGACAAATGAATATCACCAGGGAGGGATGCGTGTTTTCATCTTGCCTACAAGTGGCAGAAGTTTACAAAGCAAGCTGTGATTGATCCAAATCCCCCATTCTGCCTCTGCTGAGGAAGGAGAGAGAGCGAGAAGCCATCCTGAGAAAGCTGTCCAATCAGCTCCATTTAAACAAATGACGGGCTGAAAAGGGCGTTTGCTTTAATGAGGGATGTTTGCCTTTCATGTTGGTTAAGTTTGCATATAAAACACGCACTATAATTATGATTAAAGAGCCTCTATTATCTCAGCTCTGCCTCCAATGCTCAGTGTTGGATAACAGTGTGTTTTATAAGCTTTATTGTACATATTCATATGTAGTGTGAAGGTGCCTTTAAAGGTGGGGTAGGTCAGTTTGAGAAACCGGCTCGAGGTCGAGGTTATCGTCAACTAGTCACTGCAGGTGCTTTTTCATTCAGCGATGTCACAAGCTGCCTCACAATAACATCAAAAGGAGTGAATATTTCCCCTTAACCACTTTAAAGATTGGATTTGTCATATCAGAGGGCAACTTACGAACATCTGATAACCAAGAGTCCTATTTTAAATATTACAAGTATCAATAAAATCTAGTGAAATGAAATAATGCTCCCCTTCCTCCTTAGTTGGAGAATTTGGAGTATAGTTTATAGTCTTATTTAAACATGACATTTAAAGGTGGGGTAGGTTTGAGAAACCGGCTCGAGATACACTTGTTGTTATATTCCATGGAATGCTCTTAGCATCCCGATAGCCATGAATATCTGAAGTGCTTTGAAGCCGTGGCGCTGTAGAAAGCACGACCAATCATCTGAGCCGGCTAAAGTAACTGGATGGCCTACCTGCCTGTCAGCCTCCCATCTGGGCACAAACTGATCTCTGCCCTCATTGGTCATGTGCGCGTTGGTGTGTGTTGGAGGAGGGGCTCTGTGAGGAAGGGGCAGATTTTCTCCAGTTGTGTATTTTCAAATTCTAGCGCACTCGAGCCGGTGTCTCAAACTTACCTACCCCACCTTTAAGTGTTTTACAGCTGCAGATGTTTATCAGTGTTACCATGAAACAGGTTTTAGAGCTATGGGATGTATGAGCGGGTTTTCCAGAGTCAACGACAGCTTCTGTTTCTGAGGAATTAAACCAGATCAATTCACCAGCCCTGCACGTTTCATATCCCATTAAAACCATGTGAAGCCACGCCCTCTATGAGGAGCATTTGGATGTGCTGCATTAGAGCTGAAGGTCACACAGTTTCCTCCTCTTGGCCCTCAGCCCAGAACTCTGAGCAGGAATTACATCTACTCTCTAGTGAGTGTCCTCCTCCAACATGAGAGTAGCATGCTAACAAAGCTATCCCAACTGTCGCTGTGAACATGACAGGATGTGTGATTACCTAGAAGAGCATCAGGACTGTTTGAGGCAGATGATAGCTCTGTGATTAACATGATGATTCAGCCTCTATGGAGAGAGACATCAAGCATGCTCATTTCTGACGTGGAGCTAATCTGAAGTAAACTATAGGCGCGTTCACACCGCAGTACTTTTCCCACAAAGGTTCATGAAAACTTAGTTCCTGAGAACTCTCTAGTTCTCATGAACTAAGTTCAGATCGCGTTCACACCGGAATAAGTCCCTGGGGGAGGATTAGGCAAATGAAGCCGCTGACGTCACTTCTTCTTCTTCTTCTGCTTTGGGTTTACTGGCAGGCCGCAAACCACTTCACGGCGTATACTGCCGCCCAAAGTCCCCGGCCGGAAGTCCCCGGAGTTGGGGAAGGCTGCTGGGACTCCCATGCTAATGCTAATAATGCTAATGCGAGGATAATAAAATGGCGGCTTCACAAAACTTTTTGGGAGTTTCACGGGGCGTGGTTTGCAATCCTCCCAGCCAATCAGACACAGGAACCTTTTTCTCCCACGAAAGCCCCTGCTCTCTAGCAGGGACGGGAAAGGGGGTGAAAAGGTTCTCATGAACTAATGTTAGTTCCGGCTCTTTTTGGTGCGAACGCAACATTTCGGAACTAAAGTGGGAAAAGTACTGCGGTGTGAACGCGCCTATTGAATACTGCTTTCTATTCCTCCATCTTGTGACTGTGTAACTCCCTCTCTTGGATATCAGCATGTGAAGTTCAGGAACTAGTTGATGCTCTGTATGTGATGACTCCTTCCCTTCTGGAGAGGATCACAGAATTTTGAGATTTTGAAAAGTTTGGCTGCACAACAAGGCGGGCCAAAAGTAATACAAGTAAAGTACTGTACATCAAATATACACTTTTTTCAATAACCTTTTACCTGCACACATACATGTACATTATGTAATATGTATATATGACCCAAATATGTTCATTTAATTCATTTCTTATTTTAAAGTGACTTCACTGCATATCATTTTAATTTTATCTTTAATTTCAAAAGGCCTAAAAACCTTTATTTAAAAAAAGCCTTAGATTAAACCTTTTTCTATCACGCCTCTTGATGAGGTGCTTTACAAATACCATTCATTTTCATCTCTAATTTGATCTTTAATTGTATTAATCTTTAATGTTGTGTGAATCTGTGCCGTCCTGTTTTTCAATATCAAATAAACTACTGAATTTGAACTTGATTTGAATTAAAACAGGTCCATTTGATCTTATCTTATCTCAAGATGTGAGAGTAACGCCAATGTATTCCCCTTTCCCCAAACAGACTCTCCTGTTTTCTCACCGTCTCATTTGATTTTGATTCACATTCAGCTTCCAGAGAAAT